CTAAGTTTTGCAGGTATTAATACGACAATTGAAGGTAAATTTCAAAAGATTTTTTGGAGTTTTGAATGATCTAATCAAACATCCACGAGAAAAATGGAAGGAGCCAAGTTTCTTCAAATTTCATTATAAGGAATTCCCGGCCAAGTATCCAATCCAAGCTGACTCTTATCCTCTATTTTATGTTGATGGACTTTTTCCTTCATTTTTTTCTTTATTTTTTATTTCAAAACCTCTTCCTTTTTTTCTAGAAAATCTTTCATTCTCTTTATTCTGATAAGCTTCAAGTTTGAACTACGTTAAACCTGATTTCTTGGTCTAGCTAGATATGTAGGCAATCCTACATAAGTATTCGGTCTTCCTACTGTTTCAAACTACATATCTCACAGGAAACTAAGGCATTTTGTTGAATCAGTCTTTTCTATACAAATTATTTCAGTTAAGTACCTTTGAACGGGAAACAAGGGCAACTCTTTGAAATAGTTCAAAGTTCTCAAAAACTTCGTTCAACTTCAATTTTCGAAGATATCCTTTATCAAACCAATCTTCTCTTTACAAGAGATTATAGATTTTAAGTAGGGAGACATATCATGTGAATCCCTAATCGATCATTAACGCCTCCTTTCACATTATAAGTTCTCAAAGTGTTCTTCCAGAACCTCACATTCTATATGGTCACCAGATTGTCACGATGCATCTAAAAGTCTTCACATTTGTTAATCTTTGTGTTCGTGACTAACAAATTTCTATGAGCGAAGGGAGGACATTGCTTTAATGGCAACCAGAAATGTTATCGGCTTCCCAAACTACAAAAGCTAATCAAATTGCTTTGTTCTAACCTTATTCTCTACTTCTGAAATTTGTCATTTATCAAAAGATATTATATTGGAGTATCACTTCCTTCAATATGATATGTTAAGGCATTATTGGAGGGTCACTTCCTTCAACGTGACACATTATATTATTGGAGTGTCACTTCCTTCAACATGATATGTTAAATTCTTATTGGAGCGTCACTTTCTTCAACGTGACACTTAAATTATCATTGGAGAGTTACTTCCTTCAACGTGGTTAAATTATTGTAGCGTCACTTCCTTTAACGTGACACGTTGTATTATTGGAGTGTCACTTTCTTCAATGTGACACGTTAAAGTATTATTGGAGCGTCACTTCCTTCTACATGACACATCATATTATTATTGAAGCATAACTTCCTTCAACGTGACATTTTATATTATTATGGAGCGTCACTTCCTTCAACATGACATATTAAATTACCATTGGAGTGTCACTTAGCTTCCTTCAATGTGACACATTAAATTATTATTGGAGCATCACTTCCTTTAACGCGACACATTAAATTATTATTGGAGTGTCGCTTCCTTCAACGTTACACGTTATATTATTGGAGCACCACTTTCTTTAATGTGACACATTAATGTATCATTAGAGCGTCACTTCCTTCAATGTGACACATTATATTATTATTGGAGCATCATTTGCTTTAACGTGACATATTATATTATTATGGAGCATCACTTCCTTCAACGTGACACATTAAATTATTACTGTAGTGTCACTACCTTCAATGTGACACATTAAATTATTATTGGAGCATCACTTCCTTCAACATGACACGTTAAATATTATTGGAGTGTCGCTTTCTTCAATGTGACACATTGAATTATTATTGGAGCGTCACTTCCTTCAACATGAGACGTTATAATTATTTTATTGAACCGTCACATCGTTCAAATTCATATATCATTTTGGATCATCATTTCCTTCTGTATCACATATTAAACCAGGTTTGCCCAAATTAAATTTGTATTTATATTACATTTTCCATTGAAAATGTTTTCCTGATTTTGAATCACACGAAGTGGACTACGTCAAAATAGGACGCAGCACAACGTAGAACTTTTTCTTAGCAGCGAACTAGGACATAGTCAAAAGAGAAATATCAAACTCTTAGGATGCGAGTTTAGAAATGACTTCCACGACAATCAAACCACATCCCTATCCTACGGAGTGTGGGTATTTTTTTGGGTTTAATAGTTCTAGTTTCGCCTTTAGTGAAATTTTTTAACTCTCACTGGAGGAAATTTTTCAAATTCGAGTGACAATACACCTAGAGTTTTGAAAGTTATGTTCATGTAAGTTCTTACCTATTGGTGTGAAGGGGCCCCACGTTCATAGTTGAGATGTTTGCAAGACTCTTTTCCATGCTCAATTAACTTATCACTCATCCTTAATCTAATGGTTTAATATGCATAATAGATTTCCTTTTCAATCGATTGAGTCGAACTATAAGTAGTTTGATTCCCAAAGTTTAGAGATATGTAGGCGGGATCAATGATGAAAACTCGAATGTACTTTGGCGAACTTTGTCTCATTCCAAGCCCGAGCTTTTCGATGTCCCCATACTTCGACAAAGATTTTCAAATAGTAGTTCATCATCTTTTACTTTTGTTGTTTGTCATTTTCTTTTTTTCAAATATTTTCAAAATAGTAGTTCATCATCTTTTACTTTTGTTGTTTGTCATTTTCTTTTTTTCATAAATAGTTATATATCATGGAATAATCTATTAAGCATACACAAATTCAAATTTATACTAAATGTATATGATACATAACAATTACCACATGAAACATTTATCCATCAAAGTTATGTATTTTTTCATCTTTTTTGTATGTTGTATCAATGTATAGTGGATACATTAATAATCTAGACTTTTGTTTCTTCAGCTCAACAATGTATTATGACTTACAATTTTTTTCTCAATTCATCGATTTATAATTCAGCAGCAATGGACTGATTGAATAGTGATAGCGTGTTAAAATTTATCAATTAATGTATTGTTTAAAAACCAAACAATCATCTATCTATCTAAAATCAAATAGTAATGTATCAATATCTTGACCAACAACACTTTTATCACTTTTGTATTGTTCATACCTCACCAAACTTTTTCAGATTTTAAAATGTCTTGACAAGATCGACGAGTTCATGTTGTATTAGTACAGTTTGTCGACAGATTTAATTTAAAAACTGAGAGTTTTTTAAAAGAATGAGAAGAAGAATTTTAAACTTTGAATAATGCTAGTATGTTACAATTTTTAAATTGATGTATCTATCGATCTTAAACCGAACACATTATGAGCAATCTTTACTACTTTAATGTATCATGTAGGATTACGATACTTATTTTAAAAATACTATGTATCATAAATAATGTATCCATCTTGAGATCACAAATTAAAAAATCAGACTATAGAACACAATACATGCAATTTCATATATTTCATTTTCAGATATTTTTACCTTAAAGTTAAAGTTACAAATAGTAATGTATCATGCACAATTTTATGGATATGATACATCACTACATAAAATTGATACATTTAAATTTATCCAGTTACTATATCAATGTTGTGGTCTTCTATTTTGCAGAAGAAGAGAGATTTCATATTTGAAATTAGTTCAAGTGTATAGTCAATGTTGATAGAGAAGAAAAGGGTCATAAAGGCAGCATTGACGCGAAGAGAAAAATGAGAGTTATTGTCGATTATGCACTAATAAACTCAGATGATGGAACAACTTGCAAACATTCAAAAAAGACAATCAACAAACACTCAAAAGCCTTCATGCTTCATCCACAATCAACCATAAAGCACATTAACACATAGTTATATATTTTTTATCATATTAATGCATCTACCACAATATCTCAAAGAATGATATACATTAATGTATCATTCGTAATAATGATTACTACAACTACTTGATACATCTAAATTATTACATTGGTTGTATGTATCATATTCACAGCACTAGCTTGATACACGTTATAGAAATTAGTGTTACTCTCACATAGAGATACAAAATTTATCTGATACATGGTAATTCTTACTATTTTGAAGTATGTATCACGTACAGTTCATTATGTTTATTTATACTGCTATTTCATGCGTAACTATACACATTCTCTCAAAATGATTTATAGTGTACCACCAAAAAATCTGTAGAAATACTAGATACAAAATTAATTTTACACTATTGACAATTTACAACTAATATATCAGAATATCTTATCAATATCATATAATCATCAAAAGCAAAAAACAACTATCAACATAATACATCTGGTAATAATACTAATAGTAATGTATCATACTAGATTAGGTAAAGAGACTAAAAAAAGTCACGTACCTTTTTTTATCAGATCGCTTTATTAAAGTTATGTCTCTCTCTATCAATATTCTCTGTTGTATTAATACATAAAAGATACATTGCAAATTAAGGGTCGTCTTTTTCACCATCAAATAAAGTTTTACACCTTCAATTGTTTTAGTTTTCCATGGCGATGAGTTATTATGTGTATCTAATTTGTAAAATTCACCTACGCTCATTGATCTCCAAGTTGACGGAAATGACGACTTTGAGGTTGAAAATTTCATCACTTTTGTAACCTTCATAACTCATCTTGCTTACAAATTTTTTTGATTCTCTCAACAAAATCGATATAGATTCATATTGTATCAACCAATATTGTCGAATAATTTGAATTTTTCACGAATTGGACTGCAATGACGACTTGATGGAGATGATGAAAAATTGAATTTGAAAGACATGAATCTGTTACGGATTGAGATGGATTGATAATAATGACTTATGCTTGAATCATGGGATCTAGGATCAATTTTAGATTAATTTTCCTAATAAAGTGCAACAACCAACTGTTTTCTTTGAAAGGTGCAAGTGTCAGCTGTTACAATGTATCACATCTAATGTATCTGCATGAAATTTATGTATCCCAATGACTTCTATTTTAAGGGATTTTTGTAAAATAGAAAAAAATAGGAATAAAATGTAATTTAGATATTATAATATGAGATTTATATAAGTTATACTAAATTATAACCAACCTTTTTTTTTAATCCGTAATCATCTTAAGACCAAGTTTTGGGACATTTTTTTGGGCATTTCCAGCAGCCCAAATCCAGATCGGCCCACTTTAGTTCCAATCAACCAACTCCTCTTCCCCAATTTCCAATCGACCCAGCCCACTCACCTCTAACCCTGACCTGGCCCACCTTCTTTTCTCAAAGAAAAACTCAGCCATCGCGTGCATTTTCCAGAATAACAGCAGCAACATCACAGTGTCTTCACGACTGCTCCAAAACGCAGCAGAAACAGCAACCAAACGGCCCCTACTCGTCTCCAGTTCATACGAAAATACATGGAAACTTCATGCCTTGTACGCGATGCAATGCTATTCTACAATTTTATTGCCTTCTTGTTCCCAACCCTGTCAGTTCGTATAGCAAATCACTAGAAAAGCATGTGAAATAGTCCATGCGCCTTGGGATTGAGACACGTAGCATCTCAAGGACAATCAAATTGATCCAAGACGTCCATATCCCCTTCCCTCTTCAGGAATGGGTTGAAATCTCAGAAAAAGGGTGTTTCCCTTTATTGGTAAAAGGTTTCTGGGAGTTTGAATTTTGAACGCGCCCTTTAATCCAAGAGTTTTATCCGTTTCCCTCTGAAAGATTGGAACCTAGTTTTCTTCTATAAATACCTCCTCTTTCTCCATTATTAAAGGTGGGAAAAAGGATTGGGAAATATAGGAGTCAAATTAGTACGGACAGAGAGTGAAAAAACAATGTTATATTAAATATTCTTGACATTCAAAGCCATAGTCTTTCAAGTTCAGATTGTAGCCTCTTTCTCGCTTGTTGTTCGTCAGAATTCGGTGAGGTCGAGGTCGGTGGTTGAAGCATTTTGTCCCTCTTCATCTCCAGTCGCATCCCAGAACCAGGTTACGTTAGTGTCATCTTATTATTTTCGACTAATTATTTGTAATGTGTTTAGTTGCTTTCGTTTAGGAATTTTTTCCTTTGTCTTGTATTCTTCAGTTTAATTATGTCCCTTGTAGCTTAAATTTGATGGTTTCTTTTTGGTTTGATCAGTAGTATGTATTTAGAGTTTTGTTCTCTCGTTGGTCATTGTTAATTTTCTTATGGTCTTTTCAATATCGACTTTTCATTCTATTTGGTCCATCTTCTTGCTGCCTATCAGATTGTCTTCAAAAAGTTTTCTAAAATTTCTCATAATAATATGTAGGACCCTCTTAGCGAGTTAACTTCTACAATTCACTCTTTGTTTAAGTTCCCTTTTCCAATATTTTTGTTGCTTACTGTTTGGCCTTATTCCTTGTTGTTTATTCTTTAGCTTTAATTTGATTAGTTTTGAGCAAATTTTAGCTTGTATAATGGAATTCCACTTTGGGTTTTAAGTTTTGGCTTATATTATTTGGTTGTCTGCACTCTTATCAAGCCTAGAATATGTGCCTATTATTATATTAGTTTTGATAGTTTCCGAATACATTGAGTGTGAACGTAAAGTTATTCATTAATCTTGATTGTTGTTTAGTTTGCCTCATTAACCATCAATAGTAATATGATTTCTTGTTCACTTGTGTATGACTACTTTTTTAACAACAAATGATTCAATGCTATAATGGTCAAAGCTTATTGGAAATTTCAATTTTTTAGTTTTTACAAAATATATATATCTGTCTTCCTAGTTTAAGATATATGACGCATTTGTTCGATATGAAGATTTCCATTTAGATTGCAGTAGCTTGGTCATCTTGGAAAGAAATTCTTTCAAGTTCAAATTAGATGTTGTTGTGATCTGGTTACTGCCTCTCTTAAGTATTTTCCATTCCTTTGAAATGTCAACATTTGTGAAACTTACCCAGTAACTGATGTTGTATGAACTCATGTTTCAAGTTTAGTTGTTCATCTTACTTTCTATGCAGTGAACTGTCTTAAGATAACTATATATATATGTCTGTTTGAGTAGTCTTGTCTTCTTAAACGGTCACCTTAAGTCTTTCTAAAGTTTGTTAAGTTTTATGGTAAATATTCATTTGTCCCTTTCCTTATCTATGTTTTGATCTTCTTTTTGCTTAAATATATGATTAGAATTTATGATTGTATTGTTTCTTGGTTTGAATGTGAAAAAATATGTTAGGATTGGAAATTAAGTATCTTCCTCTATTTCTGATGGTTTCCTCCCCTTTGGCTGTCCTCTTTAAATTCATACAATTAAGAATACAAGTCGTGTACTCCTCCGCATCTAAATTTTGGAATTAAAATACTATGTTGAACTTGTTAGTTCTTAAATTGCTTATCTATTGTATTGCTGAAGTATTGAAGTCTCCCTCTATTTTACCAAAACTTTTTCTTTTAGTATGTTTGTCTTGTTGGAAATTGAATACTGATAGAAATATGAATTGAGTTTCTTCATTTGTACTTCTTTATAAAAATCTTGGCTGTTGAACAAATACTAATTTATATGGCTTGAAATTAATCACTTTTGCTAATCTCTTATAGTTGGAGTTGAGTTGTGATTAATGGAAACATTTGTGTTGTTAAGTGATCTCCTTCTTGTTTGATCTTTATTTAAGTTAAGTTTTGTTGTTCCGACATGCTTATTAAATTCACTTATTAATCCTTTCTTCCTCTTCTTTGAATTTAGCATGAACTCTCTTGTTTGAGTCAATTGACTCTCTATCTCTTGCATTCGTTTTTATTTGAGTCAACCTCCTTTAGATCGATTGAAAGGAAGCTAATATTATTGGGTTAAACACCCAAGAAGACAGCATCAGTAGTAGCTGAAAAGGCTAAAAAAATAGCATTTCCTTGGACTTGAAAAGCCTGAAAATGGCAGCAGCTGAAGCAGAGTTCCAATAACTCAGAAGGCTGAAAATTGAAGATAAATATTGGGTTGAAACCCATAATCAATATGGCAGCAGTGGTAGCAGGGTAGCAGATTAAGGTCCTGGAAGCCCAAATTTTAATCTCTCGATTATATTTAACTCTTTTATATTGTGTGTTTGCTATGGTCTAACTAACTTATTTGTTTGGCCTTTGAACTAGATGAATCCTCTCCAAAATGAATGTTATTTCTTAAATTGTATTTCTTATTTCTTATCACTTGTAGAATGACTTAAGAACCTTTTATGTTTTTTCATAATTATTGTGTATCAATGTTTATGAGTTTGAACTAACTATTTAGTATAAATTTTTTGAATAAAATAAAATTGTTAAATTTCTCAAAATAAATTAGTTGTCTTTCAATTTAACTTATGACTTTTTTATTAATGACTTTAGGATTTTCTATATCCTTTCGTAGTGTTATTAAAAAACAAGGTTCTTTAATCCATGTTTAAGAGTTTGAATTATTCGTATTAGTTCAAAACATGACTATGGATAGAAGATTTAAGTTTTTGGATTATTCTTGAGAGCTTGCAAAGTAAAAAAAAGGTTTTACCTAATTTTCATACACAATTTTAATAATTATCTTTTTTTATATATAAAATTAGCCAAACATTTCAGTCCTCCGGTCAATAGTGTGTTAGCGGATTCTTTAAGATGCTTAAACCCTTCCTTAGAGAATTAGTTGAACCATTACCCCACTATGATTTTATATAAAATATTTTCTTTCATAAAACCTTTTTTTTTAAAAAAAATGGGTTTCTTAATTTTTTGGGCTTAATTTTTCCCAAAAAATTAAGTGGCGACTTCTAAAATTATGATTTTTTAAAAACAAAAATGAAGTCAAAGTTGCAAAATAGGCTTCGAAACGTTTTGTTGAAAACTGATCATAACAGTCTTTAAGCAGCCATCGAAGAAGCCTCAAAGAGTGGAATTTCACCAAGTCAGGGGCTATAGATGGTTGTACTGTCACGACTGGAATCTAGAGCCCAGACGAGACCGGCGTCGTTGACCTCTCAGAGGTCGCAGACAAGCCTACATACATAATCCTTACTTCATATAGGTTAATTTTAGCGGAAAATTTTACCTTTTTGTTTCGTAACATGCATGTAAGTCATTCTACTTAAATTCATATACGTTCACCATCAACCATCTAATATTAAGAATATCAAATGAAAGAAATAGTTCAATACTACATTAAGTGTATACTTGCCAAAATGACACCAATACAATGTCTGAAATGAAACGGGAAAGAAACGCTAGTGGAACATACTCCTCTAACTCAATCCTATAACTAAGCTAGAATAAAATGGACAAGCGTCCGCGAATGTATGAAGTCCTACCAAGTCCGGATGAATGCTCCACGTCCGGATAGCTTCAACGTCGATCTGTAAGCTCTAACGTTTACCTGTTCCTGCACCTAAAGATGTAGAGTTACATGGGATTAGTACACACTTGTACTAAGCATGGGTATATGCAAGCACACACTAAGGACATGCATGAGTAAGAATAGATCTTTCCTAACAACATGATTTATGGAAAGTCAAGTCAGTGAACTTGCCAAATAGGGATTAGGAAAGTCAGGGGACTTGCCAAATTTGAATTGAGAAAGTCATGCCATTACACAGCACATAACATCTTACATATAGAACATAACATATTGCATATAACACATAACATATTTCATAGGCCTAAGTCATCTCCAGCCACTCAAAGTTGTCCGCATAATTCATTTAGACACCTCAACTAATCCTTGTGCCAATTGAACACTTTATTTGTTCAAAAGTCATTCCTATTAGACGCAAAATGCTGACATGGCAAAAAACGTGTAATTCACTTTCCTTGAGCGCGTTAATTTATT